AGTCCGTTGAAAGACAACCGATGTTTCGTGGGAACATGTTGCCTCCATATTGAACAAGCCAGTAGGAAACAGGCAGCGAGCAGAGTAGCTCTGATTGCAACTTGCAGTTCAGTCAGGCCTTTAAAATTGTCTTCCGTGTTTCCCAGAAGTTCGCTAGGTTCAGCTGTGCCGTGGTACAACGCACGTCCAGTGTGATTAATTGCTCTTTAGTCTAACAAACCTTTTTGTTTATCGATCTAGTTGGTCTGGCGGAAATGCTTTTGGCTAGTATTCGGGGTTGTGGGTGGTGGTGATCAGTTCGAATCTCAGCCGAAACACTGCCAATCCTGAATGAGGTTTCTCGTAGATGCCTCAGTCCCTCCAGGAAAATTCTGTCATAATATCACGATTAGGTCACTGTCATTTCCTTCCAAATCCTTTCTGATTCATCTATCATCCTACAATTCGAGGCTATAATGGAAAAAAGAAAACGCCCCGCCCTCCCAAATCTCAACTGTATAGATTATCCATTTAAAACTAACGGGATACGCCGCGCCATAGCTCAAGCGGTTAGTCGCTGGCTTTCCACCTCTGCGCCCCGGGTTCGATCCTGGGTCTGGTCAAGTGAGATTTGTGGTGGACAAAGTGGCGCTGGGGCAGGTTTTCTCCGAGTACTTCGGTTTCCCCTGCCAATCTTCATTCCACCAATTGCTCCACAATCACCCCCACCTATCATCTGGGGCTGGTGCAATAGGCCAGAAGTGGCCGCAGTGCAAGGGACTTTGTCCCATTCCAATAGAAAAAAAAACTAAAGAGAACGACAGATGCAGAGAAGGTTAAAGTATGAATTCTTTCTAAATAAAATATACATATTCAGGCCGTACCTCACAGGAAATATTACGTTTCCACTACAAAGCCCAACCGGTTAATGCTGTTTAGGGAAACAGTCGTTGTTCATTGTGAGAACCATACGGAACACATAGACACACTCTGTATGGACAGAATACAGAATATCAGCATATTAAAGTAGGTGGTTAAATAGAATGGAGGGGTACAAGGTACGGTAGCCGCGGTATAAAGCATGAACTGTGTTCGCTTGCTTGAATGCTGGAATCTTGTGTTCGAATCCCACTCAAGGCATGGCTGTCTGTATTGCGTGCTCTTATTCTGTGTTTATATCGTTCTCTGTGCAGGTAGAGGCCTTGCGATGAGCTGATCCCCCGTCCCCCGGCCCCCGTCCAAGGGGTCGTACCGACTGCGTATAGGACCAAGAAACTGAAAAAACGGCCAAGGCCCAAATAAGGGTTGTAAAGTCATAGTAATAATGAAGTGGTATGTTATTTCGGGCCGGTCACGGTAGCCGAGAGGTCTAAGGCATGCACTGTCTTCGCTGGCTTGGAAACCAGGATCGTGGGTTCGAATCCCACTCAGGGCATGGATGTTTAGTTTGTGTGTGAGCGTTTTTCTGTGTTTGTGTACAGGTAGAGGCCTTGCGACGAGCTGATCACCCGCCCAAGGAGTCCTACCGAATGTGTAAGATCAAGAAAAACCGAAGTGAACGGAGAAGTTCATGGAGGTAGGCCTAGGCCCACTGGGGCTGTAGTGCCAAGGAAAAAAAAATATATATTATTTCGGAGAAAGTATTAATTACCTATTTTAAGTTATTCCCTTACAACTGCCTGGAAAGAATATGGAGCCACACGAAAAATTCCAGTCAGAATGTCCTATCTCCGGACTAAGGGCCGAATCTGTGAGCCCACCAATATGAAACGAATCTATTATTTGACCAACTAAGTGACTTTCAGCTTTCCAAGATGGACGTCGCTCCATAGAGCGATTGCTGATATTTGCAATCGAATCAAAGGGCTGACACAAGATGCATTCGAAAAGGGCCTGGGGCTTCAACCTCGGAGCGCTTTAACTAGATCACTGAACAAGATACTTATATATATATAGAGGCCAAGTTATGGGTACAGTTGCACTGATATAAAAGATGAAGAACTTTTGGTATATACTCTGACGCTGTTTGCAAACTGCTTGTGCAAAAACGTGTCCTTTGAGGGCTTGTCCTACAAAGAGACGGATCAGTACTGGAGACTTTAACGTTAAGGCTTCCTGGAAGCACAGGGCCTCAGGAATATAGTTCAGCCCCTCTCTATGCAGAGGCAAATAGTAATAAATGCCTTATTTCAGTGCATCTCAAATACGGTCATTTCCGAAACGTCGTGTAATGAACAGTGTGCAAACAGAGTGGACATATTGGTGGAAACTCCGTTGAAATTGAAAAGTGAATAATTTCTCTCGTATTTTTATCCTTTATCCCTTCTATATCCTTATTTCGTTCCTTCATTGGTTCGTTAAACAGTGCATGAAGTTACAAATTTATCCCGCATATGGCGCAGTATCGAGCAAAATGCTGCTGTGTAAGTACTTACAGGCCGTTGTGGCTTGGGAAATACGTAAACATACATATACATAACCAAATAACATACACATTCTTCTCTGTCTATTTAGAGTGGCGTGAAGCTGAGATAATAACGGTAGGTGAACAGAAGAGTCACCTGGTGTTAACTCTTTAAATCCCAGTGGTTCCTACATATACCAACCGCTTTAACACACTAAAACTCTGCATTCTGCCCACAGAGTGTATCTGAGTGTTCCGTATGGTTCTCACAATAAACAGCGACTGTTTCCCTAAACAGCATTAACCGGTTAGGCTTCGTAGCGGAGATGTAATGTGTTTCCTGTGAGGTACGGACTGAATTAGTTAGAAGAAATTCAGCCTTCATCGAGGCAGCCACTGAACCACCACCGGCTTCCAGAGCCGTCAGACAGTAAAATATGGTCATGAGTCCTGCGTAAATGGGAACCAAGGGTCACTGTACTGGCGAGGGCCAGCAGCAATTTAGCAGTCAGTCAAATCGTGAGACAGTGAGACGCAGCAGAGTGACTCCCAGTAGAAGGGGAGTAACTAATAATAATGAGTCCTCTTTTCTCACTGAAGAGAAGGTCCGATTTCAAAACACGAAAGAAGAAGAATGTGGTCCTCGGTCACGATACCAAGCAAGACTGCCGGCGAGGACCAAAGCAGTTTACTGGACTGGACTGGACTGGTCCAGTCTTTAATGGATTAAATGTGTTTGTGGGCGGTCGTGAGTACACTAGTACGAGACGCTGTTATCCACCTGGTTGTGATGTGTGTCTAGTAGCACTTCCGCAATCATGTTATCGGCACTCCAACTCGCTTGTAGATAAGGAGAATATGGAAGCTCTGTCGCTTTCTGAACTGTGGGAAGTTTCTTCATAAAAGTACGAAGGGGAATATCACCTCTAGCGAGACCATTCCACACTCCCGCAGCAGCAGCAAAACTTCACTCTCGGTGTTCCAGGCTATCGCTTCCTGAGATATGAAACGCTAAGCGTCGGCATATTGCGAAAACAAAGGAAGATAAGATGTACTTGAAGAGTAGACCTACTGGCTGCTGAGATGTGACGCCGTACGGTCCGATAGTTCACCGCTATTTCCGAGGGACATATTGCCTCCTTCTTCAGAGTCGAAATTTGATGGATATTTCTCGATGGTTGATTTCTTGGATTACTGTTCGATCCTCATGTTTTCCCATGGTCTTGATGTTCATCCATTACATAATCAAAGCCATTGCTGCAAAGCGAATCATAATCTATGGAGCCAGAAATAATTTTTCCTTTGTGGTACGCGGTAGCGTAGCTGGTTGAGGCATTATGCTATAAGCCGGAAGGTCTCAGGTTTGATTCCCGATGAGGTCACTGGATTTTTCATTTGACCTAATCCTTCCATCCGCACTATGATCCTGGGGTCGACTCAAACAGAAATGAGTAACAGCAATCTTCCTGGGGGTAAAGGGCGGTCGGCCGGCGCGTAAGGCTGACAACCTCACCACAATCTGTGAGCCAATTGTCTAGAAAATGTGGGAGTTTCGACGTCTCACAAACCTATAGGTCTCCACGGCCTGTTACATGGATAGCTTTACATTATTTATTTAAATATTCATCACGCAAAAAAAAATCGTTTCAAATAAAATTAGTATACATTATTGAGAGATCTACAGCATTTCTTGCCATGTCCGAATTATTTTAGGATAGCCCCTCAGCCGGGAATCAAACTCCGATATCATAATCGTCCATTATGAAGACATATGGGAGCGGAGGCATAGCTCCACGGATTCTTAGCTTTGGGACTATATGGAGATGAGCGACACCGCCATGTTCCGGCCCTTCACATTGAGGAAGAAACCCCCCGGCACCCACTGAGGGCCGAGAAAGTTGGAGAGGGAAGAAAACTACGTTTTGGAAGGAAGACCGTGCCCTCTGATCCTTCTGATAGACGCACATTTGAGGGAGGGTAAAGTTTTAGGAAGTGAATAAGGTAAATGCTTAGGAAATGGACTTCATTATTAGCAGAGGAAAGAAGGTGAGCAGAGGCTTTAATGCGTATGATTGAATTTAACGTTAAAATTGATGCATTGCAGTGAAATTTTAATTTAACATTGGGAGGGCTATATTAGGGAGAAGTTTTTATGTTAATGTTGAACGAGGGGGTTTGACTGAATATGACGCATGCAATGCAACATGGAATTTAGTTATTGTAGAGGAGTCTAGGTAGGACCCAGAACCAGTCCTGACGCGGCTGAAGACAGAAAAGTCTCTGCCCCAGCTAGAAATCGAACACAGATGCCCAGGTAGACGAGCCGCATCCTAGCGAGTACGCTGCCTGAGTGTAGGAAGACTGAACGCTAGACTGAATTTCTTCTAATATATAAGAATTCAGTTCGTACCTCACAGGAAACATTACGTCTCCGCTACAAAGCCCAACCAGTTAATGCTGTTTAGGGAAACAGTCGCTGTTTATTGTGAGCACCATACGGAATACACAGATACACTCTGTGGGGAGAATGCAGAGTTTTTATTTTTAGTTAAAGCGGGTTGTACATGCAGGAACCACAGGACTTTAAAGAACTAAGTGCATCTGGCAGAAGCATTACCTTGGAAGGAGAACCAAAGGTTGACGAGGAAGGGGTGTTCCAGCGTGGTGAGTATCTCGACCTCTCGAAGAACGTTCTTCAGGGCTTCTCTCTCCACACACTGTCTCTTGTTCATGTACTTCATGGCGAACATGCGTTTGCAGTCCTTCTTCTGCACTATGCATACCTGTAACATAGCGCCGTTGCCATGGTTACTGAGGTAAATATACCCACGTTTCGATAGAAGCAAAATGGAATATAAACACTTTAATGCATTCAAGGCACCGAAGTATAAACAGGGAAAGTGTAAATACAGGACAACACAAATGACTTATTTAAAGTCATGTCTGTCTATCTTTGAAATAATATCAGTACTTGAAAAAAGCTGGACAGATTTTTCTTAAGGGGTACTATCTACTAGGACAGAACGTCATGTAGCCTGTTGAAAGTCAACCGACGTTTAGGGAGGAACATATCACCTTAATCTTCAGGGTAGGATAAGCCGAGCAAGACACCAACATGAGAAATGTTTTCTGGCGAATTTAATTTTGGCTTCTATATATAAATATCGGGGGCACGCGGTAGCGTAATTGGTTGAGGCACCATGTTACAAGAGGGAAGGTCGCGGATTCAAGTCCCGATGAGGTCATTGGATTTTTTCAATTGACCTAATCCTTCCGGCCGCACTATGGCCCTGGGATCGACTCAGCCTGTAACAGAAAAGAGTACCAGGAATATTCTTGGAGGTAAAGGTCGGCCGGCGCGTAGAGCTGACAACCTTGCCGCCATCTATGTGCCGATTGTCTAGAAAATGTGGGAACCTCAACATCTCACAACCTTATGGGCCTTCACGGTCTGTTACAGGGACAGCTTTACTTTATTTTTTTACGTTACTTTATACATAAATATCCCTTCATTTTCAAGAAATTCTTGCCACCTGCTTTCACGCTCTCTTATTCGACTTATTCGACCCTGAAGATGGAAGCGATAAGTTCATCCGTCATGTCGGTTTACTTTCAAGGGACTACACGGCGTTATATCCCAGAAGATAGTACTATTCATAAGCATGGCTATGAGAACCTCATCCTACAGACTGTCTTAAATTTCGACATGGGAGATTTTCAGTAGAATTTGTCGGGCAGTCCCCATTTTGAGCCTTATCGATCCGTTGTAATGCGTTGCAGCCATCCAAATGAACCCGACCTCCTGCTTGAGCGGCGTTAGCTGAGGTGTGGATGGGTAAGGACAGATCACTCCGCTGGTAAAAGTCTGAGCATGTCTCAGGGGTCGCATGAACGGGGAAACACAGGCCATGTGCCAAACGACAAGCCACAATTTTACTTCACCAATTCAACTTGACATGAAATATCGTCTAATGTATTGGCTTCTCAATAGAAAATCAAAGCTCTCTATGACTAACAAAATAGTACTATACAAAGCTATATTGAAACCTATTTGGTCCTATGGTCTTAAACTCTTGGGATGTGCAAAGCCGTCGATAATCAATCTCATCCAGAGATTACAATCAAAAACACTAAGGGCAATTGCAGACGCGCCATGGTATGTGAGGAGAAGCCTACACTCCATAACGACCTAAAGATACCCTTCTTCAAAAATGAAATACTAAGAATGGTTGAAAGGTACAAAAACCAAACTGTAAACCATGACAACGAATTAATAGAAGAGCTATACACCAACGGTCCAGTGACAAGAAGACTGAACAGAACATGGCCCCAAGACATCATCAATCAATGAAATAGACTACATGTAGGAGAAACATCACTGGATGTTTCCCTTGCAAGCTAACCACCTACAACACATTTACTTAATACTCTGTAATGATGTAGATTGTAAAGAATAAGAATAAAAAAAACTTCACCAGTTCATATTCTTAACAATGAGTTACTTAATTCCCAGAAGCCACGAGGCAGGATGATGTGTTCGATTCCTGCCTCGCGTCAATTCAGCCACTAAAAAAAACAGTGGTCTGTAAACCTCAAGCGAACTATACCGACCGAGCGACCGCCTCTTGGCGGAGAAGTTAGTGCCACGTCGTCAGCACAATGGATCCCCACGGCCGTTAATCTCGATTTTCTAGACTGGAGCCGCTATTTCCTTGAAATAGCTCCTCGATTATTCTCACGAGGTTGAAAGGACCCCGTTACAGACCCACTACTTCTCAGAAAATCTTGTAGCGCCCGGAATCGAACCTGGGACCTCTGGATCTCATTCCAGGAACTCTGACCAATAGACCACAGAGGTGGTTCAATTCAGCCACTACTGGTCTTAATTTAATATAACGAATTTCCGAAGTCGCAAAGCACGACTTTGACCGGTGGAGTTGAAATAAAAAACACCCTCCTCCCCCGAAACGATTCGTACTAGCGACGCATCACCTCCAAGCAGTGGCGTCCGACGCTAATACCAGGTCCTCGTTGGCAAATGGCTGGACGGGAACAGAGTTCCTCGCCCCTGCATCGAATGTAGGCACTCCTATTGGTTAAAACCAAAGAGAGTTACGTCATGCTACGTAACGCATTTCCAACATCTGGAAACCACGAGCCTCAGGATCTACTGGACCCCTCTCGTCTTTACCTACGGTGACAGAATTTGCCTTGCTCCAGACCCCACAACAGAATTACGAGCTCCGCGAAATACTCGCTTACTTCAAGCGCAAATGATAAATCAAAATTTATCGTGGCACGTGGATTCTTTGCTAGACAACTGCTCCACCAAACAGACACGAGCGCAAAAATTCCACGGCAGTAAATGCTCTGGAACAGAGGAGCTGTGTTTTCTACGCGGTGCGTGCCGAGATGTTATATGCAAGATAAGTTAGTGGAGTCAGTCAGTGGAGTGAAAGAGTTAGTGATAGGACTATTGAGTTCAGTGGTTGTGAGCTCTTGATGTGAAAATCTGGTAGCTGAGGCCCAGGACAGTTCAGAAACATAGAGGAAGGTGAACGTCTGCCGTTGAAAGCCGCAACCAAGCAACGACAATTAAGACGTGACTGGACACTAATGTGTGTGTGTGTGTGTGTGTGTGTGTGTGTGTGTAAGAGTGTGCTGTAAAATGTGGTCACGCACTGTATCAAGGAGTCGAATAAATCCGATAACCAATCCCAACTCCGTCCATAATCACACCCACACACGTGACAATATTGACAAACGATTAAATAAGCCTATAATTTTAAGCGTCTACAGCGTGGTTTATTGCACAAGGCCATAAAGGGACTGTCCCTATACCCCATACACCGTTTTGCAGATATTTTTGAAATACAATTCCATCGAAAACTGGCGGGCAAGAATTTTTAAGCCATATTGATGGAAGATGAAACTTTGCTTACGTATGTTCGTAAAAATGCCTTCTCACTCTGTCCCCATAACTGTTTCACTGATCCTGTTGAAATTCGCGATTCCACTGAAAACTGTGGAGAAATACTGGTTTACTGCCACACTGACCCAAAGTAAAGCCTAGTTTGCATTGCGGACCTCAGTGGAGCTCTACACTCAACCCATAATCCGTTCCACAGATGTTGTTGAAATTCGATATGGGGGACTCCCATTAATTTGCATTTCATTAACCTATATATGAGTACACGTAATGACCTTCAGACAGGAACACTGCTAGTTTTGCACGCTCTTTGCAGTCATGCTCTATGTGTTTTTTGTCGAAAAGTATTGAACGAGTGTTGTTAAATTCTGTACTAGAATTGTACAGGATTTTTTATGGCTTTAATTTTGCCTTCTATAGAAACACTNACGCGTATGTAGGGTATCTCTATAATGTGATTAGCTTTCAACAATAAATTTGTGTCTGCAATGAATGAACATCAATATTAATAACGGTATATGGTGTCTGTCTACACAACAATTGACTTAACAATAAATATAAAACAGAAACAATTTTCAGCATTAATTTATGGTTGTGTGGTATAGTATCCACCTAGAAGACTACCGCAGTTATGTGGAGAGGAAGTTTGCGTGCCCCAATGACCCGGAGAGCTATGCCGGCGAGAGCCTAAGCTCCTGGTAGGGCCACACATGTCAGACAGGTGAAAAGGTAGGGGCCAGACGAATGTAGTTTCTAGTCCTTCTGGTGAGGGTGTTGGGTGTGGCATTAATGGCTCCACCCTGGAAGAATATTCTGTTGCGAAATCAGCAGAGAACAAACCCGGAAGTGCTGGAGACGAACCAATGGAGAACGACCATAAAGGAGGCCAAGTCTCATGCAAGGTTGTACAGCCAATAAAGAAAAAGATAGTAGAGTACAGTACAGTACAGTGCGGTAGAGTACAGCACAGTATAGTATAGCACTGTACAGTACAGTATAGTACAGCAAAGTACAGCACAGTAAAATACAGTATAATACAGTACGTACAGTATAGCACAGCGCAGCGCAGTGCAGTAGAGTGCACTACAGTACAGTACAATATAGGTGTATTGTGGTATTACTTACGTACTAATGGAGCTGAGCCCTTCTTGAGGAGCCGCCAATTCTGAAGCTACTCAAGAATGTCTCGACATTTTATGGAACCCTCGCAGGTTCATTAGCGTGATCACAAGAGCTCTCCACTGGTCCCTATCATGAACCAGATCAATCCAATCCATACCACCCCATCCTATCTCTCTAAGGTCAATTTAATATTGTCCACACACCTACGCCTTGGTCTTCCCAGTGGTCTCGGTCCTTCATAGCCACCCTAAATTAATATTGATATTTAGCGTGTTTTATTTTTATTGTTGAGTAAATTGTTGCGAAAGTGGTCCCTATACACTGTGATTTCTTAACACAACCAGCTGCAAAGTGCAGAGATCAAGAATAGTGTGTTACCCTAATCGCAAGACCCTACATCGAACAAATCTCTGTAATACGTTTTCCTTTTATTCTTGGGGTTGTGACGAGACTGGATCTCTTCGATTGGGGGCCGCAGTCAATGCAAAATTCTTATGTTAGCGTCGTTTTAAATTAAAATTTTGTCTATGCTTGAAAACGTGTCATTTCATCCCCCCCCCCGTTTCATCTCACATATCTGCAGAATCTGAGATGAGAAATTCAATTCCCTCTATATACAGGACACCAAATCCTAACGAACGATAAGTCTGATAGGATTCTGCTAAGCTCCCGACTGACATGTCGATTTGTGCAGTGGAGAATCTGCAGTGTGGGCAGAATTTAATAAAATAA